ATATGATGGAAGTCAAAAATTCTAGTTTCACTGGTTGTTTTACTTCTGTGGTAGATTGCACTAGTTTTCATGTTTTCGCCCATACAATCGGACGTAGAGATGTTGTACCAGAGCTAGAGTTGGTGTGCCATGATTAGCAGGGACAACTGATGTACCAGGTTTAGCAATGCATCTATGTGCCAAGGCTAGAATCAATGTGCCAAAGCTAGAATCAATGCGCTAAGGCAAGAGTCAATGTGCCAAGACTAGAATCATTGTGCCAAGGCTAGAGGCGATGTCCCAAAGCTAGAATCAATGCACCAAGGCTAGAATCAATGTGCCAAGGCTAGAGTCAATGTGCCAAGACTAGAGTCAATGTACCAGGGCAGGCACTGATTCTAATCAAGACCTATGTTCACTTGGCAGACACTAACCCAGCCAATGAACGGAGAATCAACCACAACGATACCATCTGTAGAGAACTACACATTTTACTCACTAGGAGACTGCAAGAACATTTAACTAGCTCCCCAAACCTGTGCATTCATCGCTTGGAGAGTGAACGAGTCATCTCACAACTAACATGCAGCTTAACTGCCAGATTGTAACTCGGCTATCCCAGGGCCCATTTGTACAAGTCTCACAAGCGTGAACACCTTGAACTGACAGGTTCTACAACACTACATGCGACAGCAATATCAGATCTGGCAGAACAACACAAATGATATCAGCATTGATTTTACATTAAACTGAAGAAAACAAAATTGTTGTAAAAGATAATACAGAGTAATAGTGTTAGTCACACATTTTACAAAATTTATTGTGTGTTTTACACAGAATACTATACATGTTTGTGTTATGGATTAAGGCCAATCCTGCTACATCAAAAAAGAATCATTGGCAGACAAGTCAGACATGACTGGAAACTGTGGAGATTTGGTTCTGTAAAAGACTCCTGAGAGCACCACGAGCACAGAAACAGACAAACAAAGATCCTTGGGAAAAAATAAGAAGTTGATGAAAAAACAGACTACTAGTTCAGAATATAATTCACATCATTTGGACACATCATGAGTGGAGACAAACTGGAGCATTCCCTGACAACAGGACAGTGTTGAGTGGAGGAGAGGCAGAAGTAGACCTAAAGGTAAAGATTCGAACCAGCCTATTAACACTGTGGTGTGAAGGATCATCCTTAGTGGAAATTATCTGGAGTACACGGAACCAGACATTATAGATAGACATGACAGCCAACAAAGTACAGCATGCTCTCCAATAACTAATCCACATCAACTTTGGATTCTCTGGAGACAGTTCTGCCTGCCCGCACACTTGCACCGCTTCATACTTCTGGTTGCAATAGGTACTCCTTCTTTGTTTTTGTTTTTTAATATATGTAAATACAACAATCTATGACATTATCCCTTTTAGTGCTGTATCAGAGCCGCCGGTCAAAGGTTCCATTTCTTTACAAAATATAGCAAACTATACTGAAAAAAAGAGCTTCAAATATTTTCTACTTGTGAATGTTCTTTAACGGTTTTTTTTAAAATATATATGTAAGGTATAAATTGAAACTTCTGTTTAAATTGAAACATCATCTTTTCAAAATGCTTCAAATATTTGTACCTATAAATGTTACTTCAGATTTACAGAATATAACAAACTGAAGAATTATTCAGACAAAGAGCTTCAAATCTCATTTTCTCGTGAATGTTACTTGAGTTTTTGGCAGGATGCAACAAGCTGAGATATCATCTATTCAAACTTCAAATTTCATGAATGTTCCTTCAGGTTTTTAGAACATGGCAAACTGAAAGATCATCAACAAGCTAAAGATAGGAAAAATGAATATTTCTATGTTTTTATAGAAAATATATTGAGATATCACCAGTATGACAAACTAAAGAAAGGAGACACTATGGAATAATTCTAGATTTTCACAGAACATAAAATGAGATATCATCAATTCAACAAACTAAAGATAGAAAACACTAACGGATATTTTAAGGTTTTTACAGAACATAAACATATATCATCAAGTCAACAAACTAAATATAGAAAACACTAACGGATATTTTAAGGTTTTTACAGAACATAAACATATATCATCTATTCAACAAACTAAAGATAGAAGACACTAACGAATTTTTCAAGGTTTTCACAGAACATATACAGATATCATCTACTCAACAAACTAAAGACAGAACTAACAAATGTGGCTAGGTTTTCACAGAACATAAAACAAGATTTCATATATTCAGCAAAATGAAGATAGGAGACACATTTTGAACATCATTTCAAGGTTTTCAAACAACTTAACAAACTGAGATATCACCAGTCCTACAAACTAAATACAGGAACTACTCATATTGCTAGGTTTTTAAGCAGGACACAAAACACATGTACCATATTCAAAAACTTAAGTATTATTTGCTCATTAATATTATTTAGGTTCTTCACACAATATAACACACTGAGAAAACATCTATTCAATTAGCTCCGAATATTATTTACTTATGACAGTTACCTGCAGGTTTCCAGTAGCATATGATACTGAGATATCTATTCAACTTGTGTAAATTTCTATACTCACTAATGATACTTTAATACTTTGCACACAAAAACACGGAGATGTCATCGATTCAGTATACTAAAGTTAAGAGCTACTCAATTTTTCTAAATCATAGATTTATCATTTTTTCAAAAAAGTTTAGATTTTTCCTACTCACAAGTAACACTAGTTTCATTAAAACGTATGCTAAAAAAACTTCGGCATCATCTATTCAACATATTTAAAACATCTACTTACGAATCTGAACGTTACCTCAGGTTCTTCAGAGAACATTATAAAAATACTGAGATCTCACCTTTACAAAGGTTAAAAATATCTGCTTCTCATGAATACCACTCTAATCTTTTATCCTACCAGATCACTGGCCCTATTTTCCGGGAATTTCTTAACCTGACGCTGTACCGCTGGCCCCATTTTTCGGCTTTTTGGGTAGTACGGAAAAACAATGAGTCACAGACTAAAAATAACTAGCCAATCGTAATCAGATCTCGTGGATAGTCTTTCTAGATGTCCGCCTGCATGTGTGTGAATAAAATTTGTGTTGTTTTCCATGAAAAAATTCTGAAAAATTCACAATCAAACGAGCGGCTGATGAACCAATCACTTCGACAGCAAAATAAAGTAGGTCTAGGCTTTTCACAGTTCAACTGGTGATTAATACTTTGCTTTATTCAGCCTCTGCAGGGTAATTATTTCATGAAGAATACGCTCACAGTTGAAGTGACACCTTCAGCTCGAATAACGAGGAGAATCTTGAAAATTATAAATCTAGAAATAGATCGATAGTAAGAGAAGGGGGCGTGTCCCTCAAACAGCAACATCTGGTGCTCACTTTGTTAAATAATCCTGATCCTCCCGAGTGGATTGGCAAACACAGGTGGAATACTGACGCTAAATAAAAAGATAAGCCTATTTTCTACAATGTCTCCAAGTTTCATCTTTTTCTAGCCACTTGTTGGCATGTAACTAATATTTGTGTATATCATGTTGGTTTTTTTCACGTTAATGTCCAGGAGCTCAAGTGTAGGGGACAGTTTGGTTCAGTGGCCTCAGGTCTGGTAGGTTTAAAGAGAAAACAAACTGAGACATTTATTCAACAAGCTAAGAGTAGGAGCAGCACATAAAAGTCACTATAAAATGCATAAAATTCAGTTTTAAAATGTGCTGCAAAAGTGTCCAAAATACATTAACATATAAAAATGTGAGTGTTTGCAGATTCCATTCATGCCAATCTACAAGGACATTCACAACGAGCTGAGTGCTGCAAATTCAAAAATAAGCTTGATGTCCAAGGCTACATGAAGAAATAAAAAACAAATAAAACATCAAATGTTCTTTCATAACATGAATCAAGCTGCCATTGTGTAACAGACTTTTCATTTCATATAGCATAAAACTAACAACTAACATTTACAGCTAAACACTGGAAGATAAGATTGTTTCTAATCTAGTCGTCAGTCCCTAAGTATTCTCCTATCACTATTAATCTATAGTCATCCGTCTCTAAGGATTCCCCTAATGTTCTTTTATTAATTCATAATCATCATGGTTTCTAAGTATCTGCCCATCCTACTGTTTTTTATTAATCTAGTCTAGTCCTCTGTGTCTCTATGTTTCCATCTATCATCCTGCTATTATTAATCTACACTCCTGGGAGTCTCTTAGTATTCACCTATCCTCTTGTCAATCTATAGTTCTTGGTGTCTCTAATTATCCACCTATCCTCCTGTCATTATTAATCTATAGTTCTCTGTGTCTAATTATTCGCCTATTCTCCTGTCATTATTAATCTATAGTTCTCTGTGGCTCTAATTATCCACCTTTACTCCTGTCATTATTAATCTATAGTTCTCGGTGTCTCTAATTATCCACCTATCCTCCTGTCATTATTAATCTATAGTTCTCTGTGTCTAATTATTCGCCTATTCTCCTGTCATTATTAATCTATAGTTCTCTGTGTCTCTAATTATCCACCTTTACTCCTGTCATTATTAATCTATAGTTATCTGTGTCTCTAATTATCCACCTTTACTCCTGTCATTATTAATCTATAGTTCTCTGTGTCTAATTATTCGCCTATTCTCCTGTCATTATTAATCTATAGTTCTCTGTGGCTCTAATTATCCACCTTTACTCCTGTCATTATTAATCTATAGTTCTCTGTGGCTCTAATTATTCACCTATCCTCCTGTCATTATTAATCTATAGTTCTCTGTGTCTAATTATTCGCCTATTCTCCTGTCATTATTAATCTATAGTTCTCTGTGTCTCTAATTATCCACCTATCCTCCTGTCATTATTAATCTATAGTTCTCTGTGGCTCTAATTATTCACCTATCCTCCTGTCATTAAAGTTCTCTGTGTCTTAAGTATCCACCTTAACTCCTGTCATTATTAATCTATAGTTCTTGGTGTCTCTAAGTATCCACCTATCCTCCTGTCATTATTAATCTATAGTTCTTGGTGTCTCTAAGTATCCACCTATCCTCCGTGCCAGCCACAAGTCTTTCGGTTGGAGAGTAACACGTCTGGCATGTGCACAACATAAATTTGCATCTTCAAAAAGTCGCACTATGTAGGCTTCAGATGCCTGTAACCGAAACAAATCAAAACAATGTATGATTAGAAATGTAACACTTCTACAATTTTACTAATAAACATACTATTACATTATAAAATATTCAATACATTTCTTCTAAAAAAAAACAACTGTATATAATACAAAATTACCTCTTTCAAACAAAAAAACATGAAAGAAGTTTCTTCACTGTAAACTGGATAAAATAGGCACTAAAACTTTTTAAATTAGGTGAATTCTGTATATATTTCAGTTGAAAGGATTCGATCAGTTTTCTTCCACATGTTTAGCCCTTTGGGGTTCACTGCTGCAGATATCACCCGTCTTTATTTGTCTCTGTGGCCATTTTTCTCCTTTAAATCAGTAGCAACTTGCATATATTTGCATCAACTTATTAAATTACATGACTTTAGTATACACCTGACAAAATTCTGTGGAATATGCCAGAGAATAAACAGTGCAATCTATTGTCTTTTTTGATAATCCTACAATCCTACAAAGTAAGAGAATTTAAATGTCTCCCTTCCAGAAAAACAGCAAATGATTAATAGTATCGTTATCCCAACTTTGTTATCAGTGCAAAACATGGACAATGAATAGGGCACTAGAACAGAAAATAACTACATGTGAAATGTGCCGTCTCGGCAAGGTCACTAACAACGCTATACGAGACAGGGTTACAAATACCAGCATTAGAAAGTTGGAATAGGACCATGTCTGGATTATACTGACAGACAAAGAATGAAATGGTTTGGTCATCTAGTGAGAATGCAGCCAGACCAGACTGCATATGAGACTTTTTACAGTAGAACATCTGGGAGGAAGGCGAGAGGAAGACCAAGAAAGAGATAAATGAATGATGCAGCAAAAAAATTGAACAAATCCATCACTCAAGCCACCCAAGTAGTGCAAGACAAATACACAAAACTATGACACAGGGCTACAACTCGGTGTCAGTGAGACGACAAAACTAAGACACTGGGCTACAACTTGGTGTCAGTGAGACAACAAAAGAAAAAGAGAAGATTTGATAACAGTTTCATCCCGAAAACCATTGAAACAAAAAATCCTTAAAAAATATTTTTAAAACCTTTTTCACCATTTACGATTAAATCTTTTTAAAAAATGTAGTATTTTTATACATTTGTTTCTTAATTTGAAGGAAGGTAATAAATAAACATGGAGAGAACAGAAAATTAAACAACCACATTCCATCTGGCCTGAAAAAATTTATACTGTGATTCCCACCATGACCCTATTGCTGAGCGACTACCAAAGGCTAAGGGAGAATTAGAATTTTGCCACGGCTTTAAGGAAAGAAAAATATTTTTTTTTTTACAATATACTCCCCCCCCCACCCACACCCCGTTCTATTTTTAGTAAATACAATCCTGTCTGGTCCTACTAAACACTGCACAGGTACAAAGAGAATCAATACAGTTAACTAAGCTTGTCAGGGACAAGCCAGTGTAGCAATGCCGATGTGCCGTCTTCCCTGAATTCAACTCAAAATCCTTTCAGCAGCCACTTCCTACAGCAGATCTACAAACTTATTCCACTTCTCCTACACCACCATACTCATCTTCTAAGAGTCTCCAGCCTTCAAGCCTAGCCCATCTGGATCGATTGATCGTTTTGTCCCTCATGGTCTGCTACCTGAAGCTTTACCGTACCATTCTGCGATCAAAATAATCTCAACCTGGACGCCAGACCAACGTGGCAGATCCCAGACACCCTGCTCAACCTCGTAAAGTAGTTACAATCTGAACACCTGTAACAGTTACGCCACCAGTCAGGTGTAGCTAGCAGTCCTATGCAGGTAAGGATGAACACATTTAGATCTATACTCAATGCCAACAAGAAGAAGTACCTAAGTGAAGGACCGTGTCCGTATTCTTTAGGTTACCACTATGACTTCTTGCAGTCATTGCAAAAAGCACCTAATCTTCCTTCACAGAGATTCCCTCTGCCTGATTTTCTCGTGAACATCACCTGAGGTTCTCGGCAGGACGCAACAAGCTGAGATATCATCTATTCAAACAAACTTCAAATACTCTAATTTCATTATTGTTCCTTTAGGTTCATAGAACATGGCAAATTGAAATATCATCAGCAAGCTAAAGATAAGAGTCATTAATATTTCTAGGTTTTCAAGGGACATAAAATGAGTAATCACCAATTCGACAAACTAAAGGTAGGAGACACTAAACAAATATTTCTAGGTTTAACCCATCAGGTCTACGTGTTCAAAAAAAAAAAACATTTTAAGATAGCTGCAATTCAATAAAGTAACTCCTTGTGTAGGTTCCAAAGCTCCATTGTGGGGTTTAAAGAAAAGAAAAAAAATTGTTTTCCTAACAAGCATGTCATAAGAGTACACTAAATAGGGGTTTCCTTCTAAGTCAGAGTACATCTGCATGAGAGGCAAGGAACCAAGAGTCTCCATACAAATAAGCCAGATCTGTCAAACAGATGTGCACACAAAATCCAAGTTCTGGAACAAAACTAACATCCAGAAATGGATAAACAACCAGAACTTTCTGCCGGAATCTAAAGCTGATGAATGCAAAGAAGAACCAGACACACAGCACAAGTTGCTTTGGATTGAAAGTGAAGCACAACATGAATACACATACCTCCTGAAGGGCCAGGATTGCATTTGCTTGCCACATCATACTTTTTAGGTCCAGCTTCATGCCGATTTCCCTCACCTGGGAAGAGATGTTCCAGATCATATTATTATTAATGGCATCATCACAGTCATATAGTGGGAAATATCTGCTATAACAAAAAATGTTCCCACTGAAAGGCTATCAGAAATGTTCCCACTGAAAGGCTACCAGAAATGTTCCCACTGAAATGCTACCAGAAATGTTCCCACTGAAAGGCTATCAGAAATGTTCCTATTGAAAGGCTATCAGAAATGTTCCCACTGAAAGGCTATCAGAAATGTTCCCACTGAAAGGCTATCAGAAATGTTCCCACTGAAAGGCTATCAGAAATGTTCCCACTGAAAGGCTATCAGAAATGTTCCCACTTAAAGGCTATCAGAAATGTTCCCACTGAAAGGCTATCAGAAATGTTCCCACTGAAAGGCTATCAGAAAAGTTCCCACTAAAAGTCCATCAGAAAAGTTCTCACTAAAAGTCTATCAGAAATGTTCTCACTAAAAGTCTATCAGAAAAGTTCTCACTAAAAGTCTATCAGAAATGTTCTCACTGAAAGTCTATCAGAAATGTTCCCACTAAAAGGCTATCAGAAATGTTCCCACTGAAAGGCTATCAAAAATGTTACCATTGAAAGGCTACCAGAAATGTTCCCACTGAAAGGCTATCAGAAATGTTCCCACTAAAAGTCTATCAGAAATGTTCCCACTAAAAGTCTATCAGAAAAGTTCTCACTAAAAGTCTATCAGAAAAGTTCCACTAAAAGTCTATCAGAAAAGTTCTCACTAAAAGTCTATCAGAAAAGTTCTCACTAAAAGTCTATCAGAAATGTTCTCACTAAAAGGCTATCCTAAATATTCCCACACTCAAAGGCTATCAGAAATTGTATTCTACATGTTCTGACTAAATATAAGAAGCACAATGAAACATGACATGTTGACAGAAAGAATAGTCATCCACATATAAAAGCTGACTGGGGCAGAGAGAAGTCAAGGATGCAGGAATATAACGGAAAGATGTTAATTTGATTACAAAAGTAAGTAAAGGTTTAAATTTCCATATCTAATTAGGAAGCATGAATAGAACTGACAGACAGTAATGTCACAATCTGGAGAGGGAGAGAGAGAGAGAGAGAAGTGGGGGGGGGGGGGGGACCACCTAGGGAGCAGGAATATAACTGGCAGAAGATAATTTCATAAAATAATTACAGCTTTTATTTGTCCCATCTGATCAGGACAGAGAGAAAGTGAGGACACATGAATGTCAGCTGACAATTTACCTATGCAGAGCCTCCCTGTTTTACGACCCAGTTTTGTTCCAACTAACAGGGTATAGGCTGAACTGGTCATAAGTCGAATTTATATTTTCAACATTATTTTAGTTTCAAACGGGTTATACAAATTGTATAAAAAGCACACAAATTCAGCTAGGTACATATAACTATTGTAAATAATACGAAAAATAAATAATATGCACTGTATTGAATCAGCTCCAGGAACTTTTTGACTTTTCAATTAAGTTTTCTGTCTTTTTTGTGTGTGTGATCATAGGTGTGAATGGTCATAAGTCACACAGGTCATAACTCAAGGAGAAGGTGTATAAGTCATCATCGATTTCCAACCACACTGAAGACAAAACTGTATGGTACACGAGAGGATATGGATTGCACGATAGCTTTCATAAAGCCTACCGCCCTCCTGATATAAGTTTTCTGACAGAAGGATCGAAGAAGAAAAAGAAGATCATCGATTTCCACTTTAGCAGTTGATTGTCATGGGGGAGTAACAGTTTGCAATCCATTGCTTGATAAGTAGCACTGGCTATTGTGATTACGTGTCGATGTTGAACATTTTTTGTTGTTAATGTCATCAATCCATGTTTTCTTGCTTTCATGCCAGCACTTAGAAAAGCATATGTGCTGGTAGTTGTGGCGCACTCTTAGAAGATGGTCAAACCAATCATCTTCTGCTTCTCATTGAATTTTGTGCAAAGTGTTATTCCCACATTCTGTCTGACAGAATCATGTCTCTGTATCAGATGGTAAAGCTAGCAGCTTTCCTCTGGCACCTCCTCTCACAGTTGTTAATTTTACATTTGATTTTATGTCAGTAAAGGCTTCTTCTTCGTGTTCACTGGCTGTAAAAGATGGCAGAAAGCTCTGGCTGTTTTTTTCACACTGGGACTTTAGTCTTGTTCCAGAACCTGAGGTTTGTGGGCCCACTGAGATCACAGATCTGACTTATACGTATGCAGACTGTTGGTTCCTTGCCTCTCATGCAGATATACTCCGACTTCGAAGAATGTTCCCAATTAGTCAACTCCTACCACCTGCTTGTTGGGGAGGCAGTGGGTCTATTCTTGTCTTTCCCACAATGAAGTTCTCCCAATCCACACGGGGAAGTAAAGGTTTGAGTTCCACATCTTCAGGCAGATCAAGTATATGGTGTTTGTCCCACACTGTTTAAAGATAAGTCATCAATGTGTGATGGGGTTGGTCACATTGGCTGCCTTTACTTCGAAGGACATTTCCATATACACATTTTAGCCCCGGTCGAACTGTTAAAAACAAAATCCCCCTTATAACAGTAACTGGGTACAAACCAATAACAGTAACTGGGTACAAACCAATCTAGAAAATGGTAGTTTTCGAATGAGAAGATTTGTGGACTTCTGATATTGTCTAATTTCCTTCAAGGCCACTGTGCCAGGTCTCCGTCTCTTGGTAGGTCTGGGCAGGGCGGGTGCCTCTGATGCTCTGCCAGATCCTGTGAATGTTAGAAGCATACAATCAAGTAGTTGCAGTCATAAACTAATGGCAGACTTAACCCCATATAAGATTCTACACACTTGTCGTTTTGCCCTGTATTCCCCAACAGCAAAGCCTTTCTTACGTATTAACTTGTTAGACCTGCATTTTATATTTATAGATCCACTGGCACTCGGCGGGTGATGAAGTCAACATCAGGCCAGCCGCCTTTACTTCCCAGGACTTTACATGATACCCATTTTGAGGTTGGGTCCCATAGATAAAGCAACTGGTCCACAGATAGCTGCCTGTTGTAATATTTTAGTTATCTTCTTATGCTGGGGCTTGAGTCTCTAGCCTGTGACAATCCCTAGTTCAACACTGTGGCCCTGAGTAAACTTAGTTCAACAGGCCTGCTATATGGACCTGGTTAGCAGACACTGACAAATCTCTTATGCTAACACTATTCTGAGACCTGGGAGTAAAGCCTAAAAAAAGCACATCTATTCTGTCTTTAAGACCAACACCTGAGACACTGTAACCAACTTCTAGAGAGCACAATAAGTAGAGGTACCAAGGAGTTGCTGCTATATAGAAGGGCTGAGCACACATGGGAATACCCAATGTGCTGTGTCATTGATTATGATAACGTAACATACCTCTAGCTCTGCTAGGTCCGGCATCAGACTGCCTGTAACCACCTCTCTGGTCTGTCTTCTTTTTCCCTGTTCCAAGATATCAACATGAGACACATTACAAAACCTTCATGTACACCAAGCAGCTTTGCTATATGGTTGCAAAAACAACAGTACACGATGGGGACATCTCTCAAAGCAAGGAGTCCTAAAGCATTTATTATATTATAAGGGTGTTTTGTGACCTTTTAGTTCTTGCTGTGTGATTTTGGTAGTTATGTCTATCCAAAACATTATGTTTCCTGTCTTTTTCTTATTGTCGATGCCATGTGGTGTTCGTAGTATATCCAGTCTGCTGTCTTGTGAACTATCAATCAATTCTGAATCAGAAAATCTTTTATGGTATGATGTCAGACTGTATAGCATCTTGTCTCTGTCTTCGTATGTCTTTTTATCCTCCAACTTTCCCACCTCCATGACATACTCCAGTTTCTCCCTCTCATGAAATGACCAAAGAATGTAGATCGTTACCTTCTGAGGTGGGCAATCAGCAGTCATCATGCGTCAGTTTCTTTGAAGACACCTTCATTACTCTTTTTTTACCTGTCCAGGGTATTCTCATCATTCATTGCTGCTTCAAAATAATTGTTCACTAATCATCGAACTGTCCATGTTTCATTCACTTCTGTACATCATTATTTTAGGATTTATAAAGCTGTGGAAATTCTTATTTCATTAAGAGGCTTCACATATTTCAGGCTATGGCATAATAAAGTGAGAAAAATTACCAGTTCTCTTCTTTGTCACTTTTATTTCACAGATAATTTCCCTGCAAGAATATGAAGTTTGTCAACACTGTGTAGAAGGTTGGGTCAACCTCGGTGGCACACCAGTTTCCTTATTCAGTATTTCAGATTCAACACTGCAGATAGTACCCGCCTCAATTCATCTCCGAGACTGGCTTTCTCTTTTCCGTTGGTGTTTGTAGGTCTGCATATACATTATCTCGCCACTGTCGTCTTGGTCTGCCGAGTGATCACATCTCATTAAACTCTCACGTGGATGTAACTGTTGTCTTGATATCTGCCATACTCTCTATATGCCCCAACCATAAAAGTCTATGAGCCCTCATGAGTCATAATACCAGAAATTTGTGGTGATTTAAACAGAACTTTAATTTGTCTGATGCTTCTCACCCTCCGTTCTCTGCGTCCGCACCTCTGATGGCTCCAACATTTGACACAAGACAAAACAGTACAGAACAAGATTACTGTTAATGCTTGTTAACAGGCTCATACCCCTGTCTTAGTAGACAAATGGGGATGGAGCCCACAGCACTTGGCTTGTGGGAATGTCCCAAGTGATATTAATATTGTAAGAAAAATGGTGATGGAGCCCACAGCGCTTGGCTTGTGGGAATGTCCCAAGTGATATTAATATTTTCAGACAAATGGGGATGGAGACCACAACGCTTGGCTTGTGGAAATGTCCCAAGTGATATTAATATTTTAATCTCTTTCGGGCTGTAATGGTTTCATAAATAAAAACCCAAAATATAAAACTTCACTAGCATCCCTAATATAAAAAAACTACACTACACTAGCTGAGCTGACTAACACATCCCTAGCAATTTGATAATGAGATTGAGATGTCACTTCTCAGGCTAAATGAAAATCTAAATCGCCGCTACATTTTACGGGCTATCTCCGAAAAAGGGTCAAAAATTATCTTATTATCGAGGTCGAAAAAATACCCTTAGGGCCTCAGTCACATTTAAATTGCGGACCTCTTTCCGGCCACCGCCAATAGTATCTTACGCGTCGCTACGCACGGAGGGGAGGGTGGGCTAAACTAGATGGCTGGGACCCACGAGGAAATAAAATGGAGGAAGTTGCAGGAGATGCGGTAGCTGCTGCTCGTGAGTCCCAGCCATCTAATCTAGTTTAGCCGCAATCCACGCCGTGCGCAATCTAAGTCGCAGAAAGTCCGCAATTTACATGTGACTGAGGCCCTGTTAGGGTATATTTTCGGCCTCGATAATTTGGTACTGTTATTCGGAGGATAGTCCACTTTACGTGTTATCATTTCCAAAATGATTTTTAAATGAATAAATGAAACAACAGTACTTAGCGACTACGGTGTTAGGAAATTTGCGGTCTTTTGGAAATTTCCGTTACGCTGGAAACCGTTCGAAACTTGTTTGGGAAATGTCGGCTGGGGTTTCTGGATGGGTCCCGAATCTCTCATGAAATTTCGTGATTGGTGTGGTTTTCACCAGTATAAATAGCTGAAAACGGCGGGAACGAACCCGATTAACAGCGCATGTCTACGACAGCCGGAAGTCCTCTGTTACATCAGTTTGATTAAAAAATAGCGATAAGTATTCAAGGTTGGCTTTAGGCTCTAACATTACTCGTACTGGTAATGCTGGTTATAATTGAATTCATCGTCCAATTTTACATTTGTATATAAAATTTCTTTCGTATCAGTGGCTTTTTAGATTTACTGTGTCAGTGACTTTTTCCGGCAATCGCTATTATGTGGCTGTCTCTCATTGTCTGCCATCTTGTCCAATGCAAACAAAGCCAAAACGATAAGTGCGCAGTTTGGTTGCGCAGAGAAAATTTCTTGTTTCTCAGACACAAGTTTTAGCAGCTGTTTTTTACATCTCATCTCCACAAAAACCTACATATCTCAGCTCAGAAATGACATACAAGGCTAAATGAGGTACCATTGGAAAGAAATTGTTTAGTTTACAGCTATCTAACTTTTATTGGTGTTGAGGGCATTTTAAAAATTTGACTAAAGTACATAAATTAAAATAGCCGTAGACGAATGATAATGTCTTAATGATAGATAGATATGAGAAAAAAAATAACAAATCTTTAAACATGATGATCGCTTACTTGTCGCATTCTGATTCAGAGATGTGAACTTCATGAAGATGAAGATTCTTCAATTTCAATTTAATAAATAAAATAATAAATATTAAATAATATATCGACGAGACACAGGGGGAAATATTGTTAATAAATGGCCATTTAATCAAAATCAAAAGCCGTTATTTAAAAAATAAAGCTTACTACCTGCTGCGTTCTTTCGAGGAGATGGAGCCTTTCGGGTCACTGCCGGAGGCATGGATTTTGTTTATAAATGTTTCACAGACAATCAGTGACAGGCGACTCATCTCAAGTTTGAACATACCGCCATCTTTCAACGTATGTGACCGCAAATAGCCGCAAGCTGCAGCCGCAAGCAGGGTTGCCAGATGAACAACTTCATTTTATGCCAAACAATTGCCCAAAATATGCCAGAAAATGTCAAATAAAGTGTAACATTGTACTCGCTTCACATCAAAAGCTCTAGATAGAATTCTTCACTGTCTTCCTCACTGGAACAAGTGGAAGACACAGCGTTAACCTTTTCGGATGTAAAATCTGAAAGCATTTTCTCAGATGGGATGAAGTCTTTGTAACTTATCTATAATGATGGAATATTTCTTGTTCCGAAAATCACCATTAAAGTCACCCTTAAGTGCAGGCGATAACATATTTTTTATTAGGCACGAACATTTAGTTATATGCAACTGTAGGTGCTCTAATGTTTCCCCCGACCATGCGCTCTTATGATTTCACTTAGATGATCAATTGTGCTTACTGCACAATGGCAAGTCATGCATACAGCAAATTGCAACTCTGCTGCCTTTAACTTTATCATTACTTTGCCTAGGAGTTATTGTTGTAATAAGCTGTGACTGGCTTTTTGACAGTTTTCATCCTGTGTTTATCGGATTTTTCATGATTTGATATGCTACTGATTCTTGGTGCAACAGTGCACTGATACAGTTAGCAATATCCTGTCTCTGGTCCGTCTGAAGATCTTTTAAGCCGTAGGTATGTTTCTTCCAATTACTATTATACTTGCGATGTCTTAAGATGCTTTCCTTTTTTTTTTTTTTTGGCTGACGTGGCCATTGGTAAAAGTAATAAAATCTATCACAGATAGAACTAGGTCTATATCCTCTCTATTTCTGTCCTCAAGTAGTTTCTGAACAGTTTGAATCACCTAGGTATCAGTGGTGGGTTTTGGTTTTATATCCCGCATTTATTCTAGTAGATTAAGATTAATTACAGAGGGCCTGGGTTTATGGAAGTTATGATCCGTTTAGGAGACAGCAAATACAATAAGAAATTGCGCGAATCTCCGTTAGTCCGTACCAGGACATCACAACAAAGTCAAACTTGAAATAAAGATGTTAACTGTAGATCTAAATTGCTTTTAGCAAATCTGCGTGTTTCTAACGGAGGAAACATGAAGCAAATGTGAGCGCATCTTGGTAAGAAAAGCCAGGAAAAACCCAAATATGCCAAAATATGCCAGTTCA